CAGTAGGGCTTATAAATACAACCCCCAACCGGCCAAATGAGGTGTGTGGAGCTGAGGAAACATATCAAGGGTGTTGATACACCATTTTAGTGATCTTCACTTGTATAGTGCTTAGTGATTCATTAGATGATTAGTGTAGGTGCTTTGCGAAGTGCTTAGGTTGATTAGACCACCACTTATGCACTTGCTCTAGGTTTAGGCCTAGTGTTTAGTGAGGTTTGCATACCTCTTATCACTTGGTGCTTGCGCGTACCATTGTTGTACATCGGAGGGGCTTGTAGTCTTGCGAGATCACACCAATCGCGTTTGTGATGTGGCCGCCACCGTGTACCAAAGGGAACAAGGCCCACGGCGTTTCGAGCGGAAGCTTATTAGTGAAGACGGCGGGGAGCATCCAGGAGAGGCTTGCCGGAAGACACGTTGGAGACCCACTTGCATGTGGGGAAGGCCCGAGGCTATCCATAGAATTACCCGACCAGGAGCTTGGCCCTTGCGAGGGATTCCTTGCGAGGGGCTCCAACGAGGACTAGGGGGAAGCTTGCGCGCTTCTCGATACCTCGGTAAAAATATCAGAGTTGTCAACGGGAGTTTGCATATCTCCATCTTGCTCTTTAGCTTCCGCATTTACATTGATTATATTACTCCTTTTGCGGTAGAGATAGCAACACATTAGCAAAACCGTAGTTGCATATTTAGATAGTTTATCTTTTACATAGTTTTGCTAAGGGTAGAAAAAAGGCCATAGTTTAGAGTTAGAATTTTAAGTTGCCTAATTCACCCTCCCTCTTAGGCGTCACGGTCCACTTCAGAAACTATCATAGTTTCTGAATTGAAAGTGTCTTAACAAGTTCGATGGATGAAACAATGGGTGTCTTGGTAAAATCATGTCTGTAGTAAACTTAATACTCAGTATTAGAAGAATGGTGTCATCGGATCTCAAACAGCCTGTTCGCTTGTTGGTTTCAGTCAGGGCTTATCAGCCAGTCAATAATGTTTTTTCTCACAACAAACCAGCACCAGCCGGGCTTATTAGCCCATAAACCAATCAGCGAACAGGCTAAAAGACGAAAGAATGAACACACCTCCTGTGATGGTAGCATATCAAATTATGGCACTATTTGGTAGCGCTCCACCAATTTTAGATCTACGAAAGATAGTTCTACTTCACAAAATGTAAGCCAAATGCTTAAGTCCATGAAATCTAGATAAAAAGCATAGAGCTAGGAGGCTAGATTCATGAATTTCATTTCATAGACCTGCTCAAGGGCTGCCCAACAATGCTGGTTCCATACCTTCTTGTGAAATTGGATGGAAAATATCCATAATGCTATTGATTACAAACCCAACCCAACCCTCATACCTGTTTGTTTTGTTTTATTCCTATCCCCTCCTCTCCTTCGGCGTGATTATTTGTCTACCGAAGCTCCCATGCTGCCCTAGCCATAGTAGCCATTGCATCCGCTAAAACTCATTGGTTGAACACCTCCGCCGACCCGGTGACCGCCAAAATGAGTTGATCCGGCCATCCTTCACCTTCCTTACCCCTTTCCTCATTGGTTTCTGCTTAAAAAGGAGCTCCTAGGGTTGAGTGCCTGTCGACCAATGGCATCTGCATTGGCCCTAGATCCTATGCCCCTTTGGCTGGCCATGACCATGCCTACACCCACTCTTCGAGTGGCCATGGTCAGCCACAAACCCTTGCCCCAACCACCCTAGCCTTCCTTGCTATGCTGTCTGTCTAGCCAGGGACGACCAAAAGTGCTCCAACTACCCCTATAGAAACAGTCGGCTGCCCAAGGGCACCCCCAGCTGCCCCAGCCTTAGCAGTAGGCGCCCCTGGCTAGCCAATGGCCCCCTTCCTAGCCGTGGCGTCAGCCACGTCAAGGCTCGACGAGGACTTGACAATGTCTTCCTAGTGCATGCATCGCAACGGTCCCATTAGTGACACAAATGAAGAAATGTGCTCCATCAACCAGCAAGAGGACATAGGATGATGTGGTATCAATTTCTATTCCATTTTTATTGTTATAACTTTAATTGATTGTGAAGCGTAATGTCAAGTATATGAATTAGAGGTCCACACTACTATAGGATTGTTTCATAGTATCATTATATGAAAATATATGTGAATTGGAATTTGAAAATTGTTGTGGGGAAATCATTGTGAGGGTGGTCCCGAGTTCGAGTCGTGGTCTCCTCGCATTGCACAGACGAGGGTAAGGCTTGCCACTGACACCCTTCCCTAGACCCCACATAGAGCGGGAGCTCTCTGCACGGGGTGATTCAATGGATTAGAATGATGAGCATACCATGCTTTTTTGCAAGTTGTTCACCGAACAAGTTAGAAAAGAGAATTGGCCGGACACTCATTTGAACACAATGGGCTTTGTCGAGGTACCAGATAGATTGTTTCTGTGTACTGAAATCATGTTGGGCAAAAGGTAACTATAGAAGAAGCGGAACAATTTGAGGGGTTATTAATTTGACTGCATGGTAAAAATTAATGAGGAAGAAAACATGAACCGGTTGGAACAATGAAAAGGGGGTGATCAACATGGACCTTGAGTGGTGGAAGAAGACAAAATATGTGAATGTTCGATCATTTTCTATTTGTAATGTTATGTTTTTTTTTGCTTCTAGTATTGATGTCTAATTTCTTACCTTATCAAATGTTTTAGAAATTCTTAGACGCAAAAAGTTAAGAAGAGGGTTCTCTAGAATGAGGAATCTCAATGATGGAATGGAGGACAATCAACCCATTTGTGGTAAAAATGCTTTTGATGCTAGAGATTAGGCTGAGTAGGTTTGTCCTACCTCGATAATGCTAAGGAAAGGGCTATTGTAATGCTTGATAAAAGGATCAAGACGTCCAACCAACTGATGTACTTTAGAATGAGTGGTCTTGACTTTGGGATGAACCTGCAACACAAAAATAAAAAACTCCCTCCGTTCTAAATTATAAAACGTTTTTGGTTTTTTTAGATTCATGACTTTTGGTATGCATTTAGATATACACTATGGCAAGATACATAGTAAAGTTAATCGTCCTGTTCGTTTGGCTTATAAGCCGTACTTTTTCAGCTAAATAATAATATTTTTCTCTCACAAAAAATCAGCCAACAGTACTTTTAGCCATGGTTTATCAGACAAACGAACAAGGCAAATACTATCTAGAAAAGCTTTAATGTCTTATAATTTAGAACAGAGGGATTATAAATGATCTAGAAAGCAATCTTGAAAACATAAGAGACTTGGCAAAGACAACTTAAGTCTATATGCATAATGTGGCCTCATGTACATGGATATATATTTTGGATCAAAAGAAGTTTATCTTTTGAGAATGCTACAGTTCTTGTTTTAGACAAGTTTATACTACGGCCACCTATGAGCTTTGCTACTAGATATTTGTGTTTATTTGAATGTAAATAAGTTTTCACCCAAGAAATACGAAAAGGAGTGAGGTTAATGCAAAAACGGAGAAAGAGAGGAGAGTGAGGGTAAAGGAATTGAGTGAAAAGGTCAAAAGTGAAGGAGAGGGAGATGAAAAGTCTGAGAGATTGGTAGAATAAAATATTTATAGCACTTCATATTATCATATGGTGGCATAGAGTTTTGTTCCAATTCATTGATTGGCGATTGTGCATAGAATTTTATTAGATTACTCTGATACGTTTCACCACTAGCAGCCTGTTCGGTTGGCTGGTTCGTATCGTTGCTGATTCGTGAAGAAGTACTGCTGGCTGGTTTGTGTGAAAGAAAAGTACTGTTCCGACTAGAAATTTACGATCGTTTACGACAAGCCATGACCAAACGAACAGGCTGTAGAACATGAGGTTTCCACGGATGTCACCATGTATCTTGAATTTTTGTCTAGATCCGGCCAATACTACCTTTATGGATTTTTATTTATAGCTTGATAATATTTATATTATTGATTTGTTTGTTTATTGCAAGGTCCAACGTTGTCATTCTGCACATTAATTTTTTCCAGACACTAACATATAGCATGTGCGTGCCCGCTAATAATATTGATCCGGTTCGTTTAGCTGAAATATGGCTTATGTCGATGTTTATGCTGAAACATTGAAAGAGAAAAATATCTTTCGTTCGCTGAAAAGTACCACTGAAGTAGTGCTATAGAACAAGACGATTTATAATTGTAATAGATATCATTAAATGGAATATATTTTTATAATAAATATATTTGAAAAATATAAAGAATAATATTTTTTATAAATTTAGTTAAATATTACTCAACGAAGTAGAATATTATTTTTTTACTCAATGAAAAATAGGATTTATATTATTTTTAGGACGGAGGGAGTGCTCGTGGACACCGTGGAAATAAAAGCTCGAAATTGCACTAGGCTTCCCGTGGAAGGAAGAGTAAAATTCTGCAATGTACGAAAAGGACAGGTCGGGTGCTACAGAGCGAGCAATTAGGGCAGAACAGTTGGCGTACAGAGTGCCGCACGAATCACAAAGCGCAATCCAACGGTAGGTGGAAGGGGAATACCCCCGCCCTCCGCTACCCCCCGGGCACCGAGACGGCGAGACATTCGCAGCCGCCGCCGCCGCTCTTGCGCCCGCCGGGCCACCGTTGCCCCCATGCCCGAGGCCGAGCCGCCTCGCTCTGCTCGAGCAAACCGCTCGCCGCCCCACGCTTGAGCCGCCGCCGCCCTAAGCTAGCAAGCCGCCCGCCCTCGCTGCTGTTCGTCCTTGGCGGGCCGCCCGCCCCTTGGAGGTTCTCACGGATCTGAGGAGAAGTGGACGGAGGGGGACGTGAGGGAGAAGGGACGGGCGAGGGAGAGAGAAGGGGATAGGGCAGAGCCGAGCGGAAGCCAATCGTCTTGCGCGGCGGCCGCCCCCGCCGCCGCCGCCTCTCTCTCAGGTGATTGATGCAGATGCATATCCATCTCCTCGTCTTCCTCCGTGAATCGATCTGCGAGCTGTTTCAATGTAGCTAACCAGGTGTCATCCTCGATCGGACGACCGGCAGGATGCTTGCGCGGAAAGCCCCCAAAAATGGGTCTGCCGGCGCCGCAGCTCCGGTCGAAGGCCGCGACAACATCAGCAACCTCCCGGACGGCGTGCTGCAGCACATACTCTCCTTCCTGCCGGCGCAGGACGTCGTGCGGACATGTGTGCTCGCTAAGAGCTGGCGCCACATGTGGGAGTCCACCACCGTCCTGCGCTTTGTGTGGGGCGGAATGAATGAACCAGAGTCCATGATTCCGGAGTTCGTGGACCATCTGCTGCGCCTGCGCATCCGCGGATGCACGCCGCTCGACACGTGCGAGTTCCGTCTCTTGGGGTATCATGAGATCGACATGACTCGTATCAACTTTTGGATCCGTATAGCTCTCCAGTGCAAAGTCCGGGTGCTCGAGCTCATGTGTTGGGGCATTCCTCCTCTCGATGACCATCCTATCTTCATCTCCCAATACCTGAAGAAGCTACAGCTTGCCGGACTTAGCGACGACGAGATGCCCAGCAGATTGCTTGATTTCTCCTGCTGCCCCAATTTGGAAGACCTTAAGATTGTTGACTGTTACCTAGGGTGTGCCTTACTCATCTCATCACAATCGCTAAAGCGTCTAACTATTGAGAATGGTTCTTTTGGTCCTGACTGCCGCATGCCTATCTGTGCCCCGAATCTTGTTTCACTATGGCTTGAAGTCAGTAACGGCATGATTCCATCACTTCAGAGGATGCCATCCTTGCTGGCAGCATATGTTAACATCGACAGCGATGTTGATTGCATTGATTCTGATGATGACGACGACGATGGCGACGATGACGAGGACAACCAAAGTATTCTCTTGCAAGGTTTATCAGATGTTCAGAACTTGGTGCTAAAATCTTTTTGGACCGAAATGGTATCCCTTACACACTTGAATCATAATGAGCTTACATTTAAGTTTTATTGATATTTCTTTGTTTGCATTGTCTATAGATTATTTTTAGAAGGGACTTGAAATTTTGCTCTAGTTTCAACAAGTTGAAGTCTTTGCTCATCAACGAATACTGGTGCGAGCCTCCTGATTTCAGCGCCCTAGCTTGCCTCCTCAAACTTTCACCGGTGTTAGAGAAGCTCACTCTTCAACTATATTCAGAGGTATATAATTTCAAATGATATTGCTGCGTTGTAGAAAGTATAGAACGAATTATTATTGTAGTTTGTGGATTGATCTGGGCAAAATCATTACATTTACTACAGGGACCTGAACATGAAGTGGAGATAAAACTGAGCTGCAAACCATTGGAGATGTCAGCTGCAATATCACAACACCTTAAGACAGTTGAAGTCAAATGTCAAGTGTATGATGAGAGAGTTCGCAATGTTTTGACGTTTCTTAGTAAACTTGACATATGTAAGTTAACTTACATTATTACTGTCACTTTTTCTTATTTTTACAGTATGGTTCCAAATTATATGAATGAAAGTGTCTGGATTTATGGTATTAGTTCTGAACCATAGTGTTATCTTGCTTATTGCTTATGAACGAAACACAAATGCTTCTTTTTTATTCTTGTTAATCAATTTACTTTTGCTTCGTGACAATAATTTGGTACTTTTTGTTTCATTGTCTTATCATCACCACCAGCTTAGAACGTTGTGTTGCAGTAAAGTAAGTTCAATCATATCATTCCATTTTTTTTTCTGCCAAATTCATAAAAAGATGACCATTAGCTTTTTTACGTGAGTATGTAATAGATGAAATGTCATACCAGAATACAAAATTGTTTTTTTAAATGAGAATGTAACATTGATGTGATTTCCTTTGCTTACTGAGTGGCTAGCTTTTGTGCCAACATTTATACTGCATGTTCCTTTTTTTTTGAAATTGGTACCACTTCCTCAGGAATTTTCTGACACTTCAGAACAGCACAACCATTATTTTTTGTGGTTCTTTTAAATATAAAACAACATGTGTTGTGAACATATAATACTAATACAATTATTGTGTAACATATTTATTTAAACGTTTTTGACCTATTATTCTACATAAATTTCTGTCAAGCCTCGGGACAAATTGTTTTATTGTGCTGTTTGGTTATTATGTTATGTGCAGAAGTCTATTCCTGTCTAAATATTGTTACCATTCCTATATGTTTCTCATGTATTTTTTCATGCTCCTCAACTTATGGCATGCCTTTGGTATATGTGAAGGGTTTCAGTTCAGCGGATAGAAGGCTATGCATGAGAATGGACCTACTATAACTTAATTAAGTCAAGGTTAAGCTCGATCAACTCAAGCAGGCACAAGTATTAAGGATGTCGTCCTTGTCTGTAATCAGGTAGCCGGCGTGGTACCACGCTATGTAGTTCAGGCTACCTTCTTGCTTAATAGCTTGCTCAAGCTAAATCTACCTCTTACCTGTCCATTTACTATATATTGATGTATCAGAAACCTAATAGCACATGTTTGCTTGCTATGTTGAACCAGCGCCTAAGGAACGAGCACTTATGTTTCTCAAAGTGAGATTTTTTAGCCTGTCTGTTTCCTAGCATTGTTGCAGTGGAGAAAATGTTCAAATGTCACCGCATTTTGGACATGTGAAACTATAGAACGCTGAAGTAGGGTATTCTGAATTTCCATGCTAGATAAATCTGAAATTTCTCATTTTCCAGGTGTAATGCTGAAGATGTTTGATTAAATCGTTGTTCATTATTTCACAAAAACAAGGGTTTGAAAATGTATCGTATTTCTTTTGCCTTGTGTTTGCATTGGTTTAAGGGATGTAGCTTCTAGATAAAGAATTGGAAAGCTAGCATCCTGTACTGTGTTATTTACCTCCTTCCTAAGGTTCCTAAGGTCTTGTTTGGTTGCACATTTATCCACGTCAATCCACATGTGTTGAAGTGGATTGAAGTGATGTGGATACATGTGCATCTAAACAAGGCCTAAGCCTAATAACCAGATTTTCTATATGTCCACGGATGTAACGACTTTGGTTTTAAAGTGGGAGGCTGCCGACACTGAATTGTAACGATATGGTGCTTGTGCTAGCTTTGAGCGGAGTGAAATGTCGAAAGTAATCGAGCAATGGTTCCTCGTTCAGCTGGATGCATGCGAACGAGTCTCGTGCGTATTTGAACTCTTGCTGGAACCTTGAACTGTTACGATGCAATCCGTTGAAGAAGCAAATGGACCAATAGAAATTCAGTGATCTCATCCCCGGTGATAAATCCTAGGAATCCAACCCACAAAATAGTGAGTATGCTTAGGGATCCATTCCTATAAACTTAGCTCTAAAAATTTTAGAGCACTTTTAGCTTAGTTTTGAGATAAAAACTTTAATGTGAGGTGGGCTAAAGCAGAGCTAACTTTAAACCATCTGTTTGGAGACTTTAGCTCTAAAGTTCAGAGGTCTAAAGTTTAGAGGAGCACTTCAATTATTTTTTGGCTCACTCAGAGTTTTCTCTAAATTTAGGCGCGTCGACTTTTTTGGATTTTCCCTTCTCTGCGGGGGCACAAACCTCTTTAGTGAGCTCATCACCTCCTGTTCCTCCGTGTTCTCTCATCCATACGCACCTGTTTTATCTTCCTCCTTTCTCCATGACAGGGAGTCACTTTTTGTTGGACCATAGCGCCTAGTGTGGAACCCTTCGCTTACTCTACCCTCCTCTCCATTACTACCCATTCGCCAAGAACCACTTCTCTTGCTGCTTCCCACTAGGGCTGCATACCCCTCATCCCATCTTCTCTTTTCAGGCAAAAACCTCAGCTTCTTCGTGTACTGCCACACTCCCCCCTCCGCTATCTCCGCTACACATGATTTGTTGGCATGTCCTATGATGCCACAATTGTAGCAGAACTCCGGGAGAAATTCATACACTATGGGGGCACCATGGGGGCTTGCCATCTTCATCCACTACCAAAGAAACTCCATGCATCGGCGACTTTGTTGATGTTCAACTTCACCTTGATCCGTAGGTATTGGCCGATTGCTGATCCGTCCTCCAAATCCATGTCCACAAACACCCCCACCTCATTGCCGATCGCTTTCCCTGTCAGCTTGTTCATCATACCAGGTGGTATTCCCAAAGCCCTAAGCCAAATTGGGACACACTCAAACCTATTGTCTTCCAGCCTTTTTTCCATCAAAATCAACCATGAAAGGACCAAGATGCCCAAGAGGGGGGGGGTTGAATTAGGCTAATTCTAAAATTCTTTGCAATAATTAAACCCTACACTTAGCCCACTTCACCCCTTCTGCCTAGAATGTGATTCTATTGATCTACCACACAAAAGTTTAGCATCCTAAGTTCCAATCCTACTCTAACATGTCAATTCTAAGAATGTAAGGACAAGAATTGAATTGCTCAAATGAAAATGCTTAAAGTAAAGAGAGGAGAAGGAACGCGGCGATGTTTTACCGAGGTATCGGAGAGTCACCACTCCCCACTAGTCCTCGTTGGAGCACCCACGCAAGGGTGTAGCTCCCCCTTGATCCGCACAAGGATCAAGTGCTCTCTACGGGTTGATTCTTCGACACTCCGTCGCGGTGAATCACCCACAACCGCTCACAACTTGAGTTGGGTCATCCACAATCTCCGTCAGATGATCACCAAACTCCCAATCACCACCAATCTGTCTAGGTGATGACAATAACCAAGAGTAACAAAGCACGAACTCTCACTTGACCACAACAAGCCTAATGAGAAGGGTGGATGCACACTTGCTACTCTCCTTGCACTAATGAGACCCTAATCTTGGATTCTCAAATCTCAATCAACTCACTAGGCTCTTGCTCTTCAAAGCACTCTCAAGGGTGTTTCTCAGCTGATCAAATGGGCAAGAGACATCCCTTGGATGAATAGATGAAGTATTTATACCCCTCATTCAAAACAAACCGTTAGGAGGTTGCGTCAGCACTCTGTGGGGTGACCGGATGCTCCGGTCAAGGTGATCGAACACTCCGGTCAGTTTATCCCCGCCATAGAGCCGTTAAGTTGTGACCGCACTCTGACCTACGTCCGGTCAGCACTGACCGGACATGTCCGGTCACAAAAACTGCTCTCTGGAACCTTACTGATGTTGACCGGACGCTGGCGCCCAGAGTCCGATCACTTCGCTGTTCAACGTCCGGTCAGTAACCGGATCCTGAGCAGCGTCCGGTCAGCACTGACCGGACGCGTTCGATCAGAAAATTCCCTCTCTGGAACCTCTCTGGAGTTGACCGAACTCTGGCACCCAATATCCGGTCACTTTTTCACTCAGCGTCCGGTCGCAACCGGACGGCTCCAGTTGATCAAATGAACTGACCGGACTCACCCTTCAGCGTCCGGTCACAACCAGACCAGCGTCCGGTCAGTTATTTGACCCTCCATTCACTTCTAACTCAAAATCATATGTGAATGAAGTTTGCTCCAATTGATCTTAGGGCTACTCCTGAGCTACCTAGTGCTAGATTTGACAAGTGTGCACCACACCTAACCCACTAGACTCACCTAGGTCAAGCTACTAGTCCATACCCCCTAATAGTATGACCAAAGGAAAAACAAAGTCCTAAACTACTCTAAGTGTCTCTTCAACACCAAACGACACTTAGAACTAGTCCATCCTTAACCTTGTCGTCCATCCTTTGAAAACCGAAACGATTTCCATCGTAGGGGCATGACAACCGTGATTGCCCAATCAATTGCCATTACCATGACCTAACTTAATTGCCTCTGCAAAACACATGTTAGTCATAGTAATCTCGTATTGTCATTAATCACTGAAACCCAACTAGGGGCCTAGATGCTTTCAATCTTCCCCTTTTTGGTGATTGATGACAATAAACCTCGAGTATGTAAAAGAGATGAGGTTTTCAACATGCTTGGTTCATATAAGCTTTTGACAGTAAGAACAAAAGAGTCAGGCATGCTTATATGACCCAAGGCAACATGATGTACTCAATATATATGAAATAAGCATGAGTACACGAAATAAAGCTCATTTGAATCAGAGTAAAATGCGGAAACAAACCAAATGAGAATAATGAAGTGACATGACATATATAAAGATCAAAGTAGAGAGCACACATGTCACATATCACATAAGTATCACACATATCACATAAATATCACAATCACACGTATGTAGTTCAATGCATGAAAGTAAACATGAATGCATAGTAATGTATCACACATAAAAAGCCAAAAGTAATAAATCATAAGCTCTCCCTAGATATAACGCTCCCCCTAGATCTAACATACTCGATCCCTCTCCCCCTTTAGCGTCAAGCACCAAAACCTAAGGGTCGGTCGGCGGGGCAGGAGCAGAGGAGTCGGGCGCTGAGGTGTGGTGAGCAATCTAAAACTATGTAGCATCATCCTCTGATCCGAAGCTCTGAGCTGTCTGACCCTCTATCGCTGGAAGTGAAGCTGAAGCGGTCTGGGTCTGCTGTGAGACTGGTGCGGCCTGTGACTCTGCAAGTACCACTGTAG